AATACCTTATAATGGGTCGAAAATTCAGTAAAACGGGCATAACTCCACTCCAAAGGTTCATGGGCATGAACGCTTTTAGGATTCTCTTAGCCTCACTAAAACCTACTTATGGCCAGAAGATGGAGTCAAAAGCTCGGAATCAGTTGGGAATGTTCCCTCGTGAGTCGAATTGAATTATGCCTTCTACTTCCCCGACTTTTCTTTATTAACAACGTACAACAATGCATAGCGAGTGCACTGTCTATTCAATAGTGTTATCAAGGTCGCAGGTTGTACACATAAAAAAAAAAGGGATAAACAAGAAAAAATTCGATCAAATAATCGTGTTATTCTAACTGCAAAATATCAAGGATATATATATTGATTTTTCTCAAGAGAAATAGAAAAGTGGTCGATATCAGAATCTGAGACGAGTCGAGTCGAGTTACAAAACTTTGACCCATACCGGACACTGGAAACTGACACTTTCAAGGTACTATGGATCACCATTTGGTAAAATTATTCACTTCTTTGTCTCCTTCATATCTAGAAATATTCATTCTTCTAGCTACATTTTTAATAAATAGAAGGATCTAAAAAATTGTTCATGTGATTTCTGAATGACCATAAAAGTAGATATTGAAAGTGTAGTCATAGTTAATTTGAGAAAAGAATTTTTATTTTATGCACGCATAAAACAATGGAGATATTCTTTCGAAAATAATTTCAATCGAACAAAAATCGCCACTAGTACAATATTCAAACAATAGATTGTTATTTCACTGCTGATATTAGTGGTGAGCAGGATCAATCATTTTTTATCCTGGTTTTGCACTTAGCGATTTATGTACTAGTGAAATATCCGATATAATTTTCTATGATCTTGATACATCTTGCATGACCTCTGATATTCTCTCTCTCTGGAAGATTCATTACTTGTTTTTAATTCACTAACACTTCGTTCATATGTTTGATAACTCTATTGTTTAGGTAAAAAAAAAAGAAGAATTAATTTTACTATCAAAGTTATAACAGTAAATATTGACGTGATCATTCATAACTACAAGTAGTGTAAACAAAATTCTAGCTTGATTTTTTTTTTCAATGGGAAGACATCTATGAATTTGTATTTGCATTTATTGATAAGAAAAATAAATTAAATATAATATCAAAGTAAACATTTCAATAGACTCAATTATAAAATAACCTTGGCATCGAATTTAAATTCATTCAACCCGAATGAAAATAATACAATTGCATTATATTAACAACTAGAAATGTACTTGGTATAAGTAATTTAAGTGCTAAAACATCTGATGGAACAATTTCAAGTCCAATTGATGCAAGTCTTACAAAGAAAAAAAAAACAAACAAAAAAGAAAATCTATATTATTTCATATAGAAAACTTACAATTGTATACTAAATTTTTTTGATAAAAATACATGTACTTTTTCGAACTAAAAATATGAACAACAAAAATTTTTTTTTCATAAAATAATTAAAATAATCTTTCTACTTGATAAATATATATTCCAATTAAAACTAACATTGAATAAATAACTATGATTAAATGAAATGTTGCTGCTGTTTTTCGCCAAAATCCAAATGAAATCTAATTTAAAAAAAAAAAAAAACAATAAATATGATTATTTGTTTATTCATCTCTAAGAATATAGATCATACTTGAAATGAAAGAATAAACAATAAATAAAATACCATATAAATAATTCGATAGATCACAACAGTATTTTGAATACTAACAAGTAAGAGCATACCACATGATACAAATATCCAATATTTTATTAATAAATTAATTAACCATTGTCCTTTAAAAAAAAAACTAAATTTAATTTGAAAAAAACCAAAATCAAATAACTACCTAATTGACGAGGATATGAATCATTTGGTGTACTGTTTCGACGAGCTACAAGAACAAAAAAAGAAATAATAATTAATTAAATTTTCTCAATAGAGAAAATCAATTTCAAAAAAACTATTTAAACACACAGGCATAGATTTATTTCCCTCATCAAAATCATCTTACTTAATTCTATAACTGTAACAAAAAAAAAAAGTAAAACTTATCTTTGATTTTGTTTTTTTATTTTCAAAATTTGATGAAATGAACAAATAAATCATTACCTTCATTTACTTCTGTATTAGCAAGTCGTTTTTCATTAATATATTGTCGAACTATTAACCAAAAAAACATCATATAAAAGGGCTAAAATAGATGAAAATTAATTCATTAAAATATTCTATCATACATGTTAGCTCGTAAACGACAAGCTTATATTTTATTTTATTTATCTTAACCCAATGTCCTTAAAATCACGTATATATATATATGACAACAGACTATAGAGAAGAGAGAAGAAAAGAAAAAAAGATATACAGTAATAACAGTGACTATAGAAGAAAAAGAAGAGAAAGATATCAAGAGAAGAATGAGGATGAATCACCGTTTTCCAACTATATGCCTGAGGCTGTTCATAAGGAATCTCACAGACAGAGAAAGCTCCAATAAACCTTTTTCACCTGTCTATGATGATCCATATCTGTTTATCCTTCTTTTCGGTTACCTAGTCTTTCTGAGAAACTCATTGTATTAAATCCCTCAAAGATTATAAGCATGGCGCGCCCCATCAGAAACATATCCACAACTAACGACACATGGTTTGATATAATGTGAATGATCCAATCTTGCTAAAGGCATATGAAAGCAGTTCTAGATTGAAAAAGATATGCTTTACTGAGTACTGTCTCTTTGCGGTCTAGGACAGTCTTGCCATGGAGTTCTCTATCTCCGATGCGTTTTTCAAATTTTTCTAACTGAATCCTCGATCTACTCTATTGTTTGGAGGAAAATCTTATCTGAAAATCACAATTTTCATCACAAAAAACGAGATTTGAGAGCATTCTAGTGATTCATATGAAGAGTATGTAATGCTAAAATTTTTAGTGAAGATATCTCTCTCTAAGCGCCAACTTTAGAGAATATTTCACAATTCTATCTTGTTCCAATCATGAATTATAAGAGACGAAGATTGTTTAAAATATGAATTTTTCAATATTCGATGAGTCATAAAAAAATGACGAGTTTATAGTTGTGAGTTGAAAATACTATTCTGAGTACAACTCATTGAGTTATATGTCTGCAAAAAATTTCAACTCAATCGATCAAGCCATTTATGAGATATTGAATCCACAAGTCACCTATTTTTGGATATGTATTTTTGCAGGATCCTCGAAAAAAAATTATAAAATATTGACGGTTCTAGATTTTTCAAAATGGGTTGCGTCAAAATTCCTAAAACTCTTTTCTCTGCGATATATTTTGAATTGAGTACTATCTCACAATCTCAACTAAGCAAGTTCGCTTGTAGGTTATGTAAAAGACTGTTGTGAGAAGTATTGATTGTACTGGACACATTCTAAAGTGACCACTAATCTCTCCTTATGGATGACTTTTAAAAATTTGGATTACCCTATCGGATGCATTTTTCAACGCTAAAAAAATAAATTCTAATTTAAATCCCATTTGAAAGAAAGTTTAGAGTTGTGATGTGCATATAAAATCTAGAAAAATAATGAAAAATACGATGATTAACGTGGTAGTTGATTATCTTATGTGGCTTGGATGGACACCGTGTGCTACTTTGATTTCAAATATTTTATACTCATTGGATGGCTCTTTCTTTGCTCTATCAAAATCTATAAAGAAATCTCTGGTCTGGTTAGAATTGGCAGAGAAATGCAGTTTGCAATGAGAAAGAGAACAAGACAAAAATTCGAAAAAAACCGTAGGGTCGATCTAGTTTTGAGGGTGTTGTACCTACAAAAAGAAGAGTGAGGACAAGATGACATATACAGTTTTGTAGAGCGAAATTTGCTCTATCAAATGGTATATTACTCGAAAAGATTGTGATAATTTACTATGGAGATAATAACCAAATACTGACTTACCAAATTTTGCAAGAAAAATAAAAATATTTTTCAAAACCTGTTGAGGGTGCCTTCAGTGTGTACTTCATAACTTTTTAGAGGTAAGCTAGAATGAGCTAAAATTTTGGATTTATAGGTTTCTCACTTTGCTCTTTCATTTCCAATCATAAAATATAGGGGTCAAAATTTTCGAGAGTATGACCCTATTGAAAAATGTTCGATTTTCTCGTGGACCGTCTCTTAATATTATATGAACAAGATTTATGGATATTTCAACCAAGTTCAAATGCAAATTTAATAACATCAATACAACGTCGTGGTTATTTATCATTAACAACAAATACAAAAGATTTATTTATGCTTGATATTGATGGTACTATTGAACAACGATCAATTATATCATGGACATTTCTTCGACGTTATTCAAAACAACATTTATTAAATGATTATATTAATGATCAATTATTATCAATACGTTTTCATTCAATTGAATATACAATATTAATTGCAATTATACGTACAACAAATAATCGTCGATGTTTAATGATATATAAACATTAT